AACATAACGACCATCTTCGACGTCATGTTTTGGTGTTTGCCTCCATTGGGACACAATATTAATAACATCATAACATATACTTATGGACATGGTATATGGTACTTATTTCTGGCGATTGAGGTCCTCTCTTAAGATGCTGCCTGAGAAAATGCGGTGGGACATGTCACCTGAGGCACTAGTCCGTCCGCAGCAGTGCAGCACATGTCCCGTTCCCTTTTCTCATTCCTTCACTTGATAAGCCTTCTTTTTTTTAATCTTTCTTTTTTCGCCACTCATTCTTAGCCTGCGTCGTCATTGTATCTTCTGTTTCCTCCTCCTTCGTATCGACTGGCTTTTGGTTTAATGCAACCTGTTGATTCATCGACATCACCGCCATCTCAGTTTTTATTCTTATCGCAAGTGGAAACTGTTGAGACAGAATCGCCGAGCGTTGGTTCATCCTATCGGGGACCCCACTTGGCGAACTAATCCACAATCTTTTTAGGGGTCCTCCTTCGCTCTCCCTCCACGTCGTCGAATCCGCAAGTTACCCAGTCTTTCTTCGCATTTCTATCTCTCGTGACCTTGACTGGCCCGAGTGTACCCCGTGGGCCACTCCAGGGAACCATACATATATAGCCGAAGTGTGACCAGCTTCCCCTCTCTGGGTGTGAAGCTTGGACTGCTCTCTGTCTCAGGGCCCGATCTGTTGGCTCGAACTGTCGCGTGTCCGTGGATATGCCTTCCTTCACCGACCACAACGGGGACTCTGGTCCTGACATTGAAGGTAGGCAGAAGGTTTTTTAACTTTGTGGTTACCGTTCCTTTTCCAACGTCCGATTGTAGTAGTAAAATTTCCCGAGGTTCTGCTCTCGGATCAGATGATCTCATGCCCACTGCGACTCAACAATTTCGCCTATTGCTTAAGCACCTGCTTTTGTACTTTCTATCTAGGGCTTATAATATCCTTCTCCCTTGCGTCCTCTCTTCTTCCCTTGCATGCCGCAGCCTTCTTGAACATTGATGGATTCTAATCAATCTTCAAAAGGATTTCAACCGATTCACGGTACCGGTCTTAGCATCGCCTCGCAGCAGAAGGCCCGTCACGCAAACGGTAATGCGAACACCGCAATTGCGCCCGACTCTAGAAAACAACATCCTGCCATAAGCAAAAAGGCAACCGCACGCCCGCCACTCAATCCCACAGCGCCATTAAGCAGTCAATCTAGTGCCATAACCGAGTCAGGAACGCGGGATGAACAAGAAATGCAGAACGGCGACGAAGATCCGCAGAATGTCCTTTTTCACCAAGTCTTGGAATGGCTTCAGCGTGAAAAATCAAAGCGAAAAACTCCCAAAGTAAAAGCGCATACACAACCAGATGGTTCAGGTAGTGATGGGGATGACGAGGATGATGAAGACGCTATCAATGGGGATGGCACCCACTCGGAGAGGACATCTTCCCATGAGGCCGACAATGTATTTGCCTTAGACAAGCTGGAGAAGATCCTCATCCAGTACGCCGCTTCACGCAGTGACGGCGCTGCGCCTGTTTACCCCATTCGGCGGTCAACCCGCCGGCGTCACGTAAAGGGCCTACGGAGGGGTTCGGCCTCCGAATCTGATTACCTAGATGTTGACTCAGCTGCTCCCAGTGTTGATGCGACTTTAGACAACTCTAAGACACTCGCGTACAGCGGGGGTGGTGCGGAGGATGATGAGAATGAAGAAGGTGCAAATGCCAGGCGGGCCCTGGATCGGGAGGCTTGGTTTGTATTCAAGAGTGAGATCATGCGTATCACTCACACACTACAACTCAAAGGGTGGCGGAAACTACCAATGGAACTCGCCGGAGATGTAGGCGTAGTTCGACTGAGCGGTGCGCTAACCAACGCTGTGTATGTGGTCACGCCGCCTCAGAATATTCCACCCCCCAGGGCCGAGGATGGCTCCTACAGCCTTGTACCCAGGAAACCCCCACCGTAAGTACTATGGCCGTACCTTCGAAAAAGGCTCGATTTAACTTGCAACTAGGAAGCTGCTCCTGCGCATTTACGGGCCCCAGGTGGATCACCTCATCGACCGAGAAACTGAATTACAGATCCTACGTCGTCTGGGGCGCAAGCACATCGGGCCCCGAGTGCTGGGAACTTTCAATAACGGCCGCTTCGAGGAGTTCTTCGAGGCCCGTCCTTTGACTCCGAAAGAGCTGCGCGATCCCGGGACAATGAAGCAAATCGCAAAGCGCATGAGAGAGCTGCATGAGGGTATTGAATTACTTGATAACGAGAGGGAGGGGGGCCCGATGGTATTTAAGAACTGGGACAAATGGGTGGACCGCTGCGAACAAGTCACCAACTGGTTGGATAAGGAAATCCAGTCCAAGCACAATGATATTAAAGCGGTGGCAGAACCTTGGCGACGCCGAGGCTTTGTTTGCGGTGTTTCGTGGCCAACATTCAGGAAAGCCGTCGACAACTACCGAAACCACCTTATAAACGGCTATGGGGGCATGCAGGAGATCAAGCGGCAACTTGTTTTTGCCCATAATGATGTGAGTTTCGTCTTCCCCCGGAGATTATATACACCAGGGCTAACTATGCAGACTCAATATGGTAATCTTCTTCGAATGGAACCCAGCTCTGAGTCGCCACTCCTTCGACCAGAAAATGAGCATAAGCAGCTAGTTGTCATTGATTTCGAGTATGCTTCCGCGAATCTCCCTGGGTTTGAGTTCGCAAACCATTTCGTAAGTCCTTTCGTGCTGCAGAAATTGTTTCTCTCTTGCTGACCAGATAGACTGAATGGTGTTACAATTATCACGACCCAGACAGATCCTGGGCATGCAACAACAAAGACTTCCCCACCCTGGAGCAGCAACATCGCTTTATCAGTGCCTACTTAACACATCGACCTGGCTTAGGCGTGCGGTCATCTCCATCTATAACCCCACTCATGCAAGCAGGAGAACTTTCTAATATCACCTCACTCGCTCCTTTAGACCTTGATGCGGGACCCGATGTGGATCAACAGAGCTTGGTAGATGTTGAAAAAGCCCAGGAGGACCGGACGGAAGCGGAAATCCGTTCACTGATCAAGCAGGCTCGGCTCTGGCGCGTGTTCAACTCAGCGCAGTGGGTAGCATGGGGAATAGTACAAGCGAAGGTACCCGGAATGGAAGAGGGCATCGCAGCCGATGCCGCAGCAAATGGCCATCGTAACGGCACCAATGGCACAGAGTCCGAGGGGACACCTTCAACAACCCCTCCACCGGATACTGACGTGGAGGAAACAGACGAATTTGATTACCTTGCCTATGCGCAAGACCGGGCCATGTTCTTCTGGGCAGATTTGTTGTCATTAAACCTCGTTCGAGAGGAGGAGTTGCCCGCAGATTTGGTTCAACACATCAAACCCCGCATTATCGACTACTAATATGGCCTGTGACAATCAAAGCAGGCACTTCCTAATTACTGGTGACCAAACTGTCTTCAACATTTCGGCAGTGCGGCGTTATTGATATGACTCACGATGTACTTACATACACTAGCTTTATGACAGCATTACGGGTTATGCCATGAATACCAACAATTTGATATTGCCTGACCGTTACCATCGTGTACATCCAGTATATCATGTAAAGCAGATCATCAAGTCTAGAACCACCAAGGGCGTAACAGCTAAGAAAGAAAGAGAACGATAGACAAATCGAATCACCTTCTCAACCTCCTCTCTGTCTCCCCCTTCGCCTTCTGAACCCACTCATCAAACTTCCCCTCCTTCTCCTTCATCCCAACAACCCCCTTCATAACCTCCCCAATAAACCCAACAAAATTCGACCTCCGCAGGGTATTCTCCCAATCCCAGGCCCGCCTCTTCCTCTGCTCCCTCTCCAACATCTCCACATCCCCAATCTCCCTCGCCCTCGCCCTCAAATCCCTCACAACAGCCATGAGATTAAACCTCGTCTCCCCCTCCGGATACCTCGCAATCCTTCTCTGCAAAACCCCAATCACCTTCTCAGGAAACCCCTCCGCATCACACTCCCCATGACTAATCGGATACGGCTGCAACCCATCCAACTCATACAACGTCCCATTCACCGCCGTATACCCGATAAAATGATACACATCGCCCTCCTCATCTCTCGCGGTGCGCACCGTCTCATCGACAAACGGACTCGCCCGCGCAAACGCATTATGCGCCGTGCGCACCGTCTCGGAGTTCGAGAGCGCCTCGCCACGCAGGTCAGCCGGGAACCCCGTTGTGAAGTCCTTGAAGGAGCGGAGTTCGTCTCCGATATCGATGGGGTAGGGCGTTGATGACGCGCTGTCTTGGTTGAGGATCACGGAGAGGATGGCTTGCGTGCCGCATGCGTTTTGGATCGTCTGCGCCGCGAAGAAGAGGTTCTCCGGGGCGGTTTTGTCGTATGTTCCGTCTATGGGGGCTTCGGGGGTTGTCGGGGTTTGGTCGCGGAGATATTTGAAGAGGAAGATTACGCCGTAGACGGGGCTTTTTTTTTCATTTTGTATGTCTTGTTAGTTACGGGTGGATTTGGGGGGGAGGTGTGGTGGGAGGTATGCACCTTAGTGAGCGGATCGTGTCGGCATCTAGCGAGATGAGTTCTTCGAATTGAACCCCTTTGACGCCTAGGTTTTCGATGAGGGAGGTGAAGACGCCCTGGGTTTTTTTTAGAGGTGGTTCGTTAGTCTTGGTGTTGTTGAGTGGTGGGTGGGTGTGCGTACTTCGTCTGATTCGATTGTGCTCCAGCCGCCTGCGTCGGCCATTTTTATTGAGTCTTGAGGGTTGGGTTCATGTACTGTGTTTAGTGTGAAGTGTGAAGTGTCTAATGCGCAATGCAGGAGAAGTATGCCAATGATGTGGTATATGTTGTTGGATGGAGCTTTTCAAACTGCTGATGACGATATCACGGTTTGGGTGGTGGGTGTTTGTTTCATATGCAAACAAGCTCTGCGGAGCGTTTTCTTAGTAAGAGGGCCAGGGCCAAGTGGTGCCTGAGGCGACATGTAATGTTATTCTTCTTTCATTCGCGTTTTAACTTCGGGGTATTACTAGCAATAGGGGTATATATCATAAATATGTACATGAATGGTATTACACGTCAAACATAACAAATCATGAAAGTTATGCAAGCTCGACTTGGAACGAACGCTCGACCTTCATGCCCTGGTACAACGGTGTGATGCTCTCTGTACTGACATTCTGCATCGACGGCTGACGACCGGTAATGGTTGTAGACATGCTGTGATATCCGCCGGCCGTGTCCGCCCAGTGATGTTTGTCACTGTTATTCGCAACGCTGGATAATGGATAGCTGTTTTCAGTGGGCCGCTTGCGGCTGCGAGAGCCGGAAGTCGTGTCGCGCAGGACACGGAAGATTGGGCGAAGGGTCGCAAGAGAGCTGGCGGTGATACCCACGCCGGTCTCGATATTCGAGCAAATGGACACTGCATGGGTGGCGTGTAAGAAGTCTGCATGCTTATAGGCGGATAGGTATGGTATGCGGACGATGACGGTAGCACCGGCACTGTTTGTAGGGTTAGAGGAAAGTTCATAGTGATAGCCTTGGCCGGGAATACTAACATGCAGCCCAAGCCCATGATTCCCGCCAGGGCAATCTTCGTCCGCCTATTCATTTGCAGATTCCAAATTATGAAGCATGGTAACAGCCCGAGAATAAAATCGGCAATCGCTGCCACAACGCTAGCTGTATATGCAATCCCCACCAATGCATTGGGGTCGATACATGTACCACTTTTCGTTAAGCGATTCCAGAAATAGTCGACCGGTGTACACTCGAAAATGCTGACCAAGAGAAACATCGCCCCGACAAGGACCGTCAATGCGCTAATAGTGTACAGGATCGCAGCGTGAATTTTGTTGGGAGTAATACGAAGAAGGGTCATGGCGATGGAGACCTTTGCGACAATGGCAGTGACTAGGTAGAAATTTTGCCCGAGCCACCAGTACTACATGGGATGTTAGACCATATCGGGGATGAGGAGCCGATCAATAGAAACGCACCAGCAAAGCGTATCGAAGGTAGCCCGGTTTGTCTATAAACCAGGTCATCTGTTGCCCGAACCCGTACTTAGCACCAGCGAAAGTGCAGATGGCAAACGCCAAGTTGAAGATCTAGAAGTGTTGACACTGTTAGTCACGATCCATGCTCGGATAATACCACCAGACGTACCATGGCCACCACCATTGTGGCATCATCTTTTCCGAACGCCCGCACAACACGTAACCGCACAAAACACCTCAGGCACATCGATATTAGAGATATGCCCATGGACACCGCAGTGGCGATGATGATCGATTTGCTACGGTAGTTCATCTTGACGATATGGTGGCGTCTTGACTTGAACGATGAGACACCAGGAAGGGGCTTTTCCTTGCCCACGTCTTATACTCGCATGGGCCAACGACAAAAATGCGACCCACAGAGATTTCGGAAGATAGTGTGGTGGAGCGTCGGCCTTGAATGAGGCTGCCGTTCAGTATAAGAAACGAAGGTCTGAACAGCAATGACCCTGACTCAGCCCTGGGGTTGAAACTCAGTCAAGCTCGATGCAGGAGCAAAGCAAGAAGGCAGTTTAACCCCCATGTGGGCAGAGACAAGTAACTATAAAGTGGGAAAGGGCGCAACTTCCCTATTACCGGGGTCCTGTATAATGATCTGCAGGTAGCTAAGGTTTTTCTGGACCTGCCTGGTAATTGGGTTTGGTGGGCTCCATGCCTAGGGTTCAATTATGAACCATGGTTTGGCACAGCTATTAGCGGATATCTCAGGCATAAACCACTAGTCAGTGGTTCGGCAGAAAATACCACCAGCATTGAAACTCAATCAAGACAACTGATACAGATGTGGAGCACAGTGTGTGCTGGTAGACAGCAAAATCGGAGAAGTTCCGCCACCACGGATGAGTGACAGGCAGTTACAAGGCATGGTTAATTTGACATTCCATGCAACATATGGAAATCAGTATGCCAAGTGACTGCTTTTTGGTCTGCAATAGAAGGCAAGCTGTATTAGTCATTAATGACTTCAAATATGAGGACATGAAAAGCTTAGTACCTACTAATTATCATATAGTGAGCGCACATGCCGGAAAGCCATGCAAAGATCCGCGTCCGGCCTCCACCTGCCCGGAATATCAAGGAACTAGGGCCGCAGATCCCCCTTTTTGGTTTTTGGAGCACGAATAGCACGAACCAGATGGAGACAGTACCCCTTATGTGTTGCGGGATATAACAACCGATCAAGAACGTGCACGATACCCAAAAAAGTGACTTACGTTATAAGATCGGCCGCTATCGAAAGTCAGTGAGAAAGTGACTGGTGATGTAATGTGGTGGTTCATTTTGCCTTTGCCTGGAAAATAGGGTATGGCTCACGTGGCTATGACGCTAACTGCCAATAGTCTAGTCTAGAACCGGGGCAAGGGAAGGTCACATGTACCCCATGGTTCAAGTGAGCATATGGGCAGAAGTGCTCAATTTGATTGATTACCAACGATTAACGCTACCAATTCCATAGTGGAAGCGGCAGAACATAACTACATCCAACTGCCGAATGTTCCGGTTTTCGCTTCATGACATCTCCTGAGTGGATACAGTTTCCATCTTTTCAATTCTCCCTCATTTTCACATCTCCGCAGCCGCGCAATCTACTCCTCAGGGTCCTACTATTCTGTGTCGATCGGGCTCTCGACGAACCCCTTGTACTACATGAACGCAACTGTTCTGTTGGGACAGCAATGTCACCCAACGAAACCTCAAGCACGTTGCCATCTAGATTATGGCAGTACTGCTAGCCGTCCGACCGAGATTCACACTCCACAAAGGCTCAATTTCGAGATGACTCTGTCGTCAATATGCTATGTCGATAATATTTCGAGCTTAAATTGTGCAGATAATATGCTTCAGTGTGCATAGACGAGTTCAAGGGATTTCTAGGCCACAGGCCATACCTTGAGAAGTGAAAGCAAGTGGATTATTGTTATGAATGGGACAAGATATGCTTCTAAGATATCTAGTCCTTCAAGAACACATAGACGATCCAGCCAGATGGCCTACATTTCCACCTATAGAGCATAGGCTCCTTCTGCTGGTCACTTGAAGCTTGTCTGTGGACGATTAAGTGGCTATTTCGGTGCGTGTGTGTCTGATTAACGATAAAGTGAATCATTTATATACCCTATTGCACACACTGGGTCCTTACGCTGTTTTCATATACCCGCCACTTTTCAGATATTGCCCTCCCTCGAACTAAACGTTGGAGCAAATATCGAGAAATCTTATGAGGATGTGACATGTTGGCGATATACAATCAAACAAGCAGATCGGATGCCTTCCATTGAATGGGTGCCTCGTCGATCAGTCAGCATCGTGGTATGAATCCATTCGGAGGTTTCTCACAACAGTGCAACATTCTGGGTTCCTAGAGCATAATCCCAACTTAGGGCATTTGTCTCAGTTTTAAGTGTCCAACCCGATACTTTTCAGCGATGCATATATAATAAGATTCCTCCAACACTGTTGTGTCAAGTGCTGATTGATCTGTATATCGCCCTCAGCATATATCTTCAAATCAGTCTACCCCTTATTGGGCATGCCTGTGCATAGAGACAGAAGCTAACAGGACGCGGGACACGGGTATGGTGCAGTCTATAGAACAAGATACCTTGAAGAAGTACAAATTTCCCATATCCTCGAACAGGAATGTTTTCATTTCTACAAGCTATCTATTGATCCAGGAGGCAGACTTCCGTGTTTGGCTTTTCACATTTAATGTATTGCCATAATCGAGGCTTACAGTTTGGTGCACTGTGTGAAAACAAGACATGGCTCCATCACGTAGATGAATCTGTGCGAATTGTGACACAACCGGTCTTTATCAGCTCATTTTGAGCAAATATTGAACTTCTGCACAAGAACCATCCATACTTAGCCAAGCGAAATAGATTCCATTCTAGAGAACTCGAAGACACTTCAACACTACAATCTAGATGTGGGAAGGTCACAGCGTCATAGATATACTGATCGCATCGAGATACTCGATGATAATCCTCGATTCAACGATATAGCTCTCTTAGCCATCAGCGAAATACTTATTTCCTAGAGCTGGAGACTACAACTAGTAAATCCCTACACAGCCGCATCCATCCTTTTCATACATACTCTTACCACGAGAGCTCACCGCCAGAAACAACCTCCCACTATATTCTGTAAATCAACACACAGAAAAAAAACAATAACCACCCAGCCACAAACCAAAACCCATATATCAACACCACCACAGTCTCAAACAACCCAAACCGACCACCCCAAATACCTCCCCTCCCCAAAAACCCATCCCCCCCCGAAACCAAAATCCCCACCACCAAAATAAAACTCGTATTCCAGCAACCGAACCGAACCAAACCAAATCACAGACCCCCTATAACAAACAACCAATATAGCCCTCCCTAACCCAAGTTCCACGCCAAGCCCCACGCGCTTCCCCGTCAAAAGCTAGCTAAAATCTCCTAGCCTCATCCACCCGCCATCGAATCTCTCTACCGAATACGAGCCCAGCCAAAACAGGCTAGCCTGGGCCCTGTTTCCATGCATCATGCCGATCATCATCATCATCGTTGGGGGGGATGGATCTCGTTTCCCTCGAATGAAAAAATTTCGCAGGGCTGGACAAAGTATATTCGTGAGAGCTTGGGTTAGAGTTTGGTGTCGGTGGTTATCAATGTGTCTATATTTATCTTCTGCTAACTTTGTTCAGTGGTTTCTGGGGTTTGGGTTTGGGGGTGTATGGTATTGTATCTTGTCTACTGTATCTACTAGTATTTTACTTATTTCATGAGGTTTGTGTATGCTGTGTGTAGATGTGGTGATAAGTGTGGATGCCCCGGTCTTGTTGTTTGTTTGTAAGGTATTGTGTAGTCGGGGAGAGTCCTATGTTAGGGGATCGGCGGGCATGGTACTGTAAGTACATTCTTGAGGCCCTTGCTTTAGATTTGGCTAAATATGCCGGATTCTAAATATATCCCGGCCTCGTGGTATCAACGTGTTTGATTGACTGTTCTTTTTTTCGTTTCTGTTGCCTTGTGCAGGAACTGTACAGGTAAAGTCTGTAGGCTGCCGATCAGATCCAGTCGGATGAAATTAGACCGTTTCATGATCTCATGCCTTCTCTGATGGCTAATAATAGATGGCCTGGTGATACCTTACAGAAACAAGATGATCGGGGATAGTTTGTCATTTCATTATACATGTTAATTATCTCAAAGCGAACGCCAAGCGGGTATATGATTTTGATATCCATATCAATCCATGCTCTCATGTAGCCTCATTCTGTCCTGGTGTTCCTGTATCGCTGTAGCATATCGCAGGATTCGTAACGAATGTCAGGCATGCAAATCCAAAATAATGTGCACAAAATGCAACAATAGTAGAATGAAAACCCTCCCCCCATCCAAAATATAAGAGTACCAGCCCTTCTATCCATCCAACCCCATGTGAGATCCAAGCTCAAGCCCATATGCCGTATAAATAGAATCAAAGTTGGTGAAGGGTATATAATTTTTTTTTTTTTGGCTTTTATTTTTTTGCCTGGCTCTGTCGGCCATCTTTCCATCTTCAAGTGCAGATACTTCCTGTCCAGCACGGTTCCGCGGTGCTATATCCTCCCACAATCTGCTGAGGTTCGCCGTAGAGATCCACGTTGAGCCCGACCGTTCCGTCTACTCGCGATAGCTCTCCGCACACCATACCATCCACATATGGTGGAGGATATGTGGGCGACTGATGGAGCGAGGTAGTATGGCTGTATTCGCACAGTTCTTCTCGGGCATCGGAAAGCAAACTTGGAGACGATGGGTAAAGACTCTGGACACTTGGTGCTGTGACGTACGTTCCATTTACATCAAATGGAGAACTAGCGATCGTCACCGCTGGGGGAGACTGGAGAGGTGGGGTGTAAGGTGCACAGGTAGCGGTAGAGGATGGAGAGGATGACGATGCTAGCGTGTAATCTTGTATAGGTTGGTACGGACTCGCGGGGGACGGGGAGTAGTCGAGTGAGGTCCGCGGCGACCACTGAAGGCGGCTTTTATATTGAGCAACGATATGTCGAGGCAATTCCATAATGGTCGAGGCTAGCTGTAGATCGGGGTTGTATGGCTCCGACATGCTTCTGGTTATGATGATCCGATAGATGTCTTCGATGGGGCCGACGGATAGCGGGCCGAGGTATGCGCCTCCTAGGTCAGGGAATAAACTATCCAAAACCACACCAATACCGAAGAATTGAGCAAGGATGGCAAGGGCTCCGAGATCTGCGTCTCCGCCTCGGAGCATGGCTGGGGGAAGCCAAAAGAGCCATCTTCGCAGGGGCTGCATACGCTCAAAGGCCTGTTCCGGGGTCAAGGACAGAAGATCTCGCCTGAAGTGGCGTACAAATTCAAGGAGTTCTCCGATCCGACGGTAGTGCTCGGGGTTGTGAGCCACGCGCTTCTGGACGTTTTGAAGGGCAATGGTTGTTTGGTCGAGGCTAACAAGGTCCTCGTCCTGGAACTGGTAGCCCGTCATCATTGGGGTGTTAGTACATCCCAAGTACCTTTGGTTCTCGAGGTACATGGCTAGTTCGGATTCGTGCTTCCAGATGGGATGCATCGAATTCAGAACGGTTGTGAGTCCCTGTTGCAGGGACGCCCAGCTATGCCTAGAAAACTGTTAGTATTCCACGTACCCGGGTTCGTAGAATCACATACCATTCCGAGGCTTGCCAGGAAAGGAGGATGGAGGCCGCAAGGATAGCGTCACAATTGCCTTTCGAGAAAGTACCGATAGCCTTGTGTAAGCCCTGAATCGCCACCCCTCTGTGGTGGTAAGCGAGCTGCTTAGTTTCTTTATTTCGTGTGATCCAGGCCAAATGTGACGCCGACAGAGTAAGGATGGAACTCATGACAAAGTCATTTGTGATGGCGATATTGAGGAATCTGTGGAATGTTAGTTCCCCATTAACGAAACCAGACTGGACCTCGGCACTTACGTGGGCATCTTCTGCGCCCAGATCGTGGAGTTACTAAAGCCGCGACGATGTAGGTCGATGGACAAGCCGATGATATGGTGAATTAAACGAAGATCGGTTCGCGAGAGTTTGCTCCAACAACTGCGTGGGTACTGTACCAGTTCTGGGAACGGAGGCACCCCCGTGATGTGCCAATTCTTGATTTCCGTCTCGATTTCGGCGGACATGAGAAGATCGGGGATTTTGCGAGTGGCGGATGATTCGTCGTGTACAGTAGCGACATCCATATAGTCACAGCGACAGTTATGTTTGGTACAATTCCGGCTACTCTCCGTCAGCCGCAACACCTTTGCATATGTTCATGAAGTAGATGCGTACCATTGCGGAAAACTCTCATCGCAACGAATATGTCGTCTCTTACATGTTTTGCAGCCGAAACGAGACTTGGTATGGCTCTTGCGAGGAGGGCCACCACCGGGACCGGCCATATCGTCTGGATACAGGAAAGGCGCAAGGCAATGCTATGGTTTCAATGAAAACAAACCGTGCTACCCCACTCGGCAGCCAAAATAATGTGTAGAAGGCGTGGCACAACTCAACAATGCGCAACAAGATAGTGGGCAAGGGTCGAATGACAACAAGAGGTACGCTTCTTGGGTGATGTATCGAAAGGGAAAGGGAGGAAGAGGGGAAGACCGAGGAGAGATGCAGGTATATAGCAGTACCAATAGCCAAGCCTAGAGATGCAGACTCCAAAAATAACCTCGAGCCTCAGCCCCGGGTGGAGGAAGAAACGAGGAACGAGATGAAGAATGTCCGCACGTGGGGAATACGAGATAACGGCAAGGGAGGGGAGTTGGGCTGTTTTATTCTGACGAATATTTTGACAGGAACAAGAGGAGTGAAAGGATTATAAGAGGTGGAGGGTTATAATTAAGTCACAGTCAGGGCCAGTAGGCTAATAGTCCAGGAATGCATGCAGCCTCTTGAGCTGAGGGACCACTCATAATAAGGTAGGGAAAGGTTTTAAGATCAAACAGTTAAAAAAAAAAAATAAAATAAAATAAAGGAAAATAAAAAAAGAAAATAGAAAGAAAATGTTTAATTTAAATAAAAAAAAAATATTAAATAAAAAAAAAGAGAGGAAAGAAACTTAGGAAAGTAGGGGACTAGTCAAATCTCTGGGGATGCGTTCCAAACGCCACGAGACGGCCGGTCAGATGCTGATCTCCTGAGAATGTCGTAGTAATAGAAAAAAGTAAGAAAAAGAAAATGCACCCTGTTCAAGGATACCTTCAGCAGATGATGTGGGGATGGGGAAAATTGAAAAGACAAGAGATGAGAGGTGGAGGGGAGAAGTAAGTATGGACTATAACCATAATAGGAGCCCGAAGGGAATTATTATTAGTAGTTGAATGGATTAAAACCAAGGATTACTCAAAATCATGGTTTTGAGCCTCTTTCCCGTCATTTTTCCCTTTTAGATCTCGCAATCTAAAAAAGAAAATTAAAATTAAACGGAGGAGGAAGAAAGTACAAACCCATCAGCACCAAAAATGTTTTAAAAAAAAAAAATAAATAAATAAAAAGAATAGGTGGGAACAGAAAAAGGATAGGCAGGATTAACGTGTATGGAGTATATACAGTTAGCACCTAACTTAGTACCGACAGGGAATGTGAGGCCTGGATTAGCCCTCCTGCAACGAGGTTACTTTGGACGGCAGCGTGGCTGCCCATGAGTCTCATTAGTCACATTGTTCGGGCGAGGACCACATGGCAAGCCAGCACCACCAACATTCATTCAATTCATTCTAGTTCCTCCCCCTAGTCATCTCTATTCCGGAAATTGCTAAGTCTCTTTCCTGACGGTCCCATCTCGAAAAGATCCGAAGGAATTCTTCCCCTTCCACTGCATTCCTTTGCTTCGACCTGCCCCCTTCATCTCAGATTAATTTGGTCCTAAATGAAAAAGTTGGGGCCAAAAGAGAATCAATCCCCATAGCCCAAGTGGGTGGGACGCGAGTCCCGCCAAGTCAGATTTCTGTAAGGATCTTGAGTCTAAGCCTCTCTACCAAATATGCTTGAACTCTAGTCACGGGAATCGTCCGATACCAAAAGGGAATATTGATGGGAAAAGTAAGAACATAATGATCCAAAATAAAATAAAAAATAAAAAAAAAAAAAAAAAAAAAAAAAAAAAAAAAAAAAAAAAAAAAAAAACAAAAGGAGACAGACAGAAGCGAGCGCCGAGACCGGGACGGATGGAGAAACACCTTAGATGTGGCGTATCTAAGCATGTTCACGGTCCAGAAAGCATGTGTAGACCTTCATCGGTCGAAATCGATCCTCTGGGTGTCAAGTCTGGTTGTGATTTGGGGTACAGTCAGTCTGGACAGGGTCTGCGGAAATCAATTACCATAGCTTAGGTTAGGTTGACCCAAAGTATCAACTTGACGGATGGGGTTGCCCGACGAAACTACTTGATTGGGTAAAAAAATTGTGGTGGGAAAGTTGTTTCTCTTTTATTCATTCAATCATCATTTATTTCTTTTTTGTTCGTCCGCTTGCACTGGATCTTCTCCATACTTGACCCAGACCGCGGTATTGTTGGTTCTGTGGTTCTCTAAGGTTCTCACCCACTCAATCTCGGGCAATAGGTTTTTCGATGACACACAGTGGGCAGACGGGTCTGTCATTGATTGGCGTCAGATTAAAGTCGCTAATCACATGGTTCTCATTACTTAACGATCGGATTTTGTTTACCCTCAAAAGTCCGATCCCAGGGGTAGCTTGACTCTGTGTCAACAACAAGATACCCTGTCCTGGAACCATGTGGGCATCCTTCCTGCCCTTCTGGACCTCTTATGCCCCTGTCCGTTTTCCTTTCTGGACAAGGTATGTATTGGATAACGTCGAAACCGATAGCCCCTCTTACTGTATAAGTATATCGTCATGGTGATCGTCTGTTTTGACCCGAAGGGACCCTTGCCCCGTCACTAGAACTTGGGGATCGTCGACCAACGACCTTGCCCTATAACCGATATGGGCACATCCAACGAACATCCACACTTAAAAGAAAAAGCGAGAAAAAATAAACAAATCAGAAAATCGAAAATTAACCCCAATCATCCTGGGAGGCTCGAGGAAGGTCCCGGTGAGAAAAGGGGAAGATAATCTATCTATTATTGGACGCGCTACACCTGCACAATTGCTTTTTGGTGTCGCTGCCGCGCTAGCAGGGGATTCAAAGAATTATATTGCTTTTTCATCCTGGTGCCTCGTGGACATATTCCCATTCAAACAGACGTCACCAACAAATTAATCCCGCGGATCCGTCCGAATATAGAATATTGATATGATGTAGCGAACGATTGCCTCGCCAGGCGGACTGAGCGCACCGTTCATGGTGCCTGGCAATCACCCTCTGGAGGGCAGAAAAAAAAAAAAAAAAAAAAAAAAAAAAAAACTTTAGCACCCCGCTAGAGGAGATACTGCTTATAGTTCCCCACGACTCTATAATAGCGTTACGATAGATGGTTTCCTACCCCTGGTGATGGAATGGATAGCGCGCAACTCTGATGTACGGTTTGCAGAGTCTCTTGCAATGCGCCGTTTTTATCCGACGCTAGGGGACGCACGTTTGGATTGCCGGTATGAAGCGGAGCTCGATACATAAGAACCGTAAAACACACACGGTCTAAATTCGGGAATCGCAACCGACCCTCTCGGTCAATACCCCAATCGCAACGTTGAACGGGGGCCACTTCGGCCGAGGGGCTTTCTCGACTATTCCCTCATGACCATCAAAACCCTGTCTGACGGCTCTCTCAAGTATAGTACACACAGACACCCTGGGAGAGAATAAGCGATCATACAGCCAAGCCACTAAGGCACCGAATCACCTGTCCAGGGTCACTGCGTATGCAGCTAAGATTTAGTTCCTCCAACTAAGATTTAGATCGAGGCTGCAAACCTTCTACGGGCAAGGCACGGAGCACTGTCGAACGAGAAGCCCATCCTCTCTGGCGGACTTGGTCAAAACGTTGAACTTTTTTCATTCTTCGACAAATCCGGTAACCTCCTGCAACCAAGAGTGCCTAAACTAGTAATGCTTGCGGCTGAGCCACGGGCGACTAGTGGGGCAGTGAGCCCTACGACCGTGTGAAGATGACCTTGCCCGCTGTCCCGGGATGGCGGGTTTGAGTTCCCTCGGATGGTGCTACCGTGGAAGCGCATGGCCAGCCTGGGGATCCTGAATAACTTGCGATGGTCTGGTTGATAAGAGGAGGGAAGAAGTAGCACAGTTTCAGCCTTGATGGAAGGGCCAACTCGTGTGTTACGCATTCCCAGATGAAACAGACCTCGTTAGTCAGATCCACATCAATTCGCTAATTTTAAACATATCAGGAAACCGGTAAGGAGCTCCCATCTTATCACAGAGAGAAATAATAAATCATGAAAGATAGGGGGTGGGCTTAGCGGAAAAGCCATCAAATGCTAACGCGACACCACCTTGGAAGTAAATTAAGAGCTAAGCGCGAATCGTTGCGAAACTCTTTTTTCGGTCCCCATCTGATTGGATTCAACAGAGGGCCCTGAAGGAATATTTCCAGATAAGGTAAATGCCCTAGAACGCTAAAGGGACGAGGCTAATCAAGGCTTCGAACCCATAGGGTAAAAAACCCTTCGGAGACTGCGGTCCGGGTCCATGGTCGCGGGCGGCCGAGATTAAGAATCAGCGATCAGTAAATCCTGGCTGCTCATTGGTGGTTTCGGGTCCAGGTAGGGGATACTTTAATTCTTGACCCATGGGACAATGTCCTGTCGAAAGCCCTCAACAATTGCTGAGGATGACGGCATTCCTAGGCTCTCGACCTGCATCAATCGAGGAATGTGCATGCATTGCAAGTGTAGCACAAAAGCCTCATGCCACGTTTTTATTTTTGTTTAGAATTTTTTTTTTTTTGTTTCCCTTGAAGAAGAAAAATTACTCGAGGAGAGAGGCAAATGGATGCTTGATCCCTGTCAATGATGGCTTGGGCTTTGAGGTCTTGGCAGTATAGGACATATCCTATTTGTCCGGACAGCTGGAGTCAAGCCCATTTGCGCATTCATGGTTGCCATCCCATAGGCGGAAGGAATTGACCGCGCCCTAACGGCTTTTTCAACCAGAGCCACCACCTCAATTTCGGTCAAGGTTGCCAAGGACGTGTGCATCCCAGGGAGCGAGACGCGACTATCCACAATTTCATGGCCTTTATCTGGCCCGAATTCGATAGATAGAAAGAGACTGGGGAGGACAAGGCGAGAGAGAGAGAATTGGAAACGGGCTAAACTGACCTTCCCCAAGTGTCGCTAAACCAAATCCCGTAAGAAACGGACAATACCGACCCGTCAGAGGGGGAATGGCCAATGGCAAGTCCCGAGCCATTCTCCGCATTCGATAGACTTGCTCCAGGATGGTCCAGTCTCGTGATTGGCAAATGGGAAGTCACGCCGTCCCCCCTGACAGGTTTGTTTTGGTTGCCAAGCGCCCCGTCGCGAGATGCCACCTAATGAGGTTAGGTGTGTTCCAGACCCAAGTCACCGCTTTTTAATCCAGAAAAGCGTTAGGGTTGGTCAACTTTGTTTAGCTTCGGCGTAACTTTATTCGTTTTGGTCAATCCTCCCCAACTATTGATCGGATGAGGCCATCATAGGAGAAGCAACTTTGATGCCTGGGAGATAGGTCATGCTCATGTTTGCCTATCAGGCTGTCAAGCTCCCAAGAAAGCTCTGACATGTGGTGACTCACCTTACACAGGCATCTTCCACGCCATGTGGACTGATCCTAGCCAGCCACTGGCAGCGGCCTTTTCATCGATGGAACGATCAATGTACCTTTTTTCTATTGAGTTTTCGCTCTCGCTTCGCCATGTCAGAAACCCTATCTCGAACACCTGTATACTTAATAGAGAAGCAAAATGCGACGAAAGTTAAATTCTCCTGCTGATCTGCCTGTCAATGAATCAATCAAATGTCAACAGAGTCAAACTGGGTGGGTTGTCCCTCGAGCTACGGTGGGGATGTGTCAAGCATCAAGACATTGGTACTGTACATGCCCCGGAAGACCCAACGTACATACAGCCTATCCTGGAAACCGTCACGCATCCCAGATGTCGTCCTGCACTGTCACTGTGACAATGGTCGATATATCAATACCACTCCATGTATGGAGTACATATCGGCCCCACCCAGACGACGTCAAGCCAACGCTTAAACTACCAACTTCTTGGACTAGTTGTCAATTGCAGAATAACACCTAGTCTCGTCTGTCGGCTTATGAATCAGGCGTGCAAGAACCTGATTTGAACATTGACTCATCCCTCCCTGAGTAACCATTCCTATCCTATCATAGCGCCGTCCGGTTGTTGTTCGATGAGGTAAGCGTGCTGAAGCCCGAGTCTGGGTCTTGATATCACCGGGCACCTCGACATTGGTGTCAACCTATAACGTCCCGTCGTCCTGATCACCATACCTCAGCTCTCGAGCCGACAAAGGTTCAAAAAAAAAAAAAAAAAAAAAAAAAAAAAAAAAAAAAAAAAAAAAAAAAAAAAAAAAAAAAAAAAAA